GGGCTTCAGTAGAGTCCAGGGGCTCGTTAGGTTTTCGGTTGCTGCTGCGTTATCGTGCATTTTCGAGATGTTGGTGATGTCGCCGTCGTACCATGTTGGAACAACGATGACTTCTAGCGAGGGAGAACTGGAACTGAAGAATTGCTTGAGAGCTGGCAGGGCCTCCAAGCCGATAGTGGACTCCATTGTGAACGATGCGATGCGTAAATTAGCATCGGTTCGTGGAAACTTGTGGAGTATTGGCTCAAGCCCAACCTTCGATGTAGTCGCGAAGGTGTCGAAGAGTACGCTTTTGATGAGGCTGAAGTTGTGTACGGTAGAGCCTTCGATGAGGTATTTCAACTGGGGTAGACTCTCGGGGTCAAGGCAGAATTCCATCTCGTGGTAGAGAGCACTGAGGAAGTAGTCCGCCATATCATGTGTACCAGCGGGGATACCATCACGCTGCTTGAGAACGGATGCGCACACGAAGCGCTCCATTAGGTCACATTTGGTGAGCTGGATAACGTTAGCTCGTGTTGTATGAAAGAAGCGCAGTGAACTTACGTTGGCGGTAATCATGTCCTTCAGCTCTACCGGAAGACGCCAAAATCGCGCCTCGGCGAGGCGGGACAGTTGCTGAGAGTATTTTGGCTTCTTGGAGGCGGGCTCAGAGGCAGTGAAATGGAATACAGGCGACTCATCAGCGACGTATTTGCGCTTGGAGTCGCGCGCGAGTTCGTCCATGTTGAGTTGTGAGTAAGGTCGAGTCGCGGAGAAAAGACCTGGCAGGATTGTATAGAAGGTAGAAATTTGGGCGAGCTTGGTGGCCTCCGTTTGCTCTTCGAGCACGTGGAGAGTCGAACGGCGGTGACTGAGCGCTGTCCTTCCTCGAAGCCTGCTGATTGGTCGACTACAGACCGCGTCTACTTTGAGACTTGCCCTTGGGATATGGCTCACTGCGATCGCTGTAGGAAACAACATACAGGCAGTGCCTCGACACAGGATAACCTGCTAGCGACAACTGACAGCATTCAAGTCACATCCGAGCTACCTTTCCAGGTGCAATTCCATCATCGTCTTCATCTTCACCTTCACCTTCACCTACGATTACATCATCTACGAGCCACGTGATGTGGTACGTGGAGGCCTAGTGCCTTGGCAGCAGAACCAGTATCTATTGCCTCGCTCTGACCACAGTTCCCTTTCTCTTCTACAACCACTTCTCTTCTTTTATTCTTATAACAAACGCTGTAGTCTGCGCTTCCGTGGAATGCTAGGCATACAGATAGCGGAACCCCCGTTAGTCAGAGATCACCTAGGGCAACATGTCCTCGAATCTGTCAGACAACAGCGTTTGCACCTCAGCGGTCAATCAGAATAAGATCTCCTTATAAGCTTGTGTTCGTACCAGCTTCTTCTTCCATCTTTATCGCCTCGGCCGCCTTCAAGATCTTGTACATGCCTACGGGCTCAATCCTACATGGTATTCGACAACTGGGCTCCGTTGGGCGAACGCGACCTCTCGCATCCCAGACATTACCCTAACTCAGAGCCTTGCTTGTGCAATTTGCCGCGAGTTAGTACCTCCACCGCTTGACCCTTGGAGTCTATATCAACACAAACTAGCATGTGTTCGATGAATCGATCGGGGCTAGTCTACGCGTCGGGAATGGCGGCGTAATGGATTGGCGATGATGAGAATAGTCTGAGTCAAGAAGCTACGTTTCCGGGAACAGTGGATTTTTTCGTTGGGTCTTGCGGCTTGCTGCTGGCTTGAAGAAGGAGTGAAACATCCGGCGCGACTGACAATCGGATAGACACAGCTGACACTGCCAGACATGATCAAAGCCGGGCTTACTAGGACAAAATCGGGGTACCTGGTTTCCAGTGTTAGTAAGAGCACCTCATACTGGACAACATAAACATACCTCCACAGCTGGCGCCTATGGAGTCCGCATCATTGCTTGCGGAGTGGTGAGGTTCCATTTCCGATGCAGGTTGAAAGCAGTTTGTGATGTGAGTAGCGATCCTACACGCGTAGAATGCAGACAGAGAAGACAAAAAGACACCACACCCGCGAGGAGACTCTGGAGTGATGCCTGGTCATCATTTCATACGTTTGAGCGCGCAGTCCCGCAGCGCGCAGCGGCGTATCGCAACTGCGCATAACCATTTAATTAGTGCATGTCGCGCGACCGGTCAGCTTGTCCAGAGGGCGCAGCCTTAATCGGACGCCACAAGCCGTCTCCTTTGCTTCACAATACAGTACTGTCGTTCTTGTCCTGGAACGCGTCGCGCCGAGTAGTCGCCATCCGAGTCGGGTTCAAAAGGATTGAGGTTTGAGCCTTGGAAAGGTGCCCGAATGGCAGTGGGGTAGGCAGACAAAGCCGGCGTTCAGGGGCGTCGCATGTGACGTCACACGCAAAATCACCATTGTCATCAGCAAAACAATGTCGCTGAAATCTATGGGCTACACGCTCACAGCGCAACCAAAAATGACGCCGCCTGAAACGCGATCTTAAAGATTTAAATTGCCACACGGCTGCCTTGGATCCAAATTCCGTTCGTTCTTGCGCATACCTGTTCCGATGCCTGCGACGCGTTCCGATTCCGACGCGTCCTTTTCGCGTAATGCAGAAGCTCTTGACGGTATGCATCATTGACCCGCGCGGCGCACCATACCGACACCATCAGGAACAACACAATCTTGACAGTGTACTCACCGGGGACATCAAGTGTTCCAAATACCGGAGCTGCTCGACGTCATCCCCCGGTTTGCGGGACCCGAAGTACAAGTCTCTGCATGGAACGTGTCGCGAACCTGGCGGCGTTCTTCCAAGCCCGTCATCAGCAGCAACAGGCAATCGTACTGGCAGACCTACCCACCGAAAGATCCAGTAAAGTATGGCCTCCTCGTCTCTACCACTGATGAAGCAAGGTGCGATCCAATTAGGAACGAGCTCGATAAGTTCGACCAAACAGCTACTCGTCTGGAAAAGCGGGTTGAAAGTGGCCATACTAGATTCATTCCGACTCACTACCTGTCCGGTTAAGAGCGATGCTGTCATACCTCCCTGCTCGATACACATAGTGCGCAAAGCTTGCGGCCACTTGTGCATTACAGCTTAAAGATATGCGGGCATATTCTGGCCAATTATGCCTGTGGTACTCACGTAGTACCCTTTTCGGTCACGAATTCCCGACTGCTCAGATGATTTCATTGTAAGGGCACGATGCGGTTTACCGTCGCCATCGACGTCATCACACCTAAAATGCACGCTGTCAGGAAACCATGTCAACACCATGTTCGACATCAATCTCGTTCTTAGACTCCTGACGGTACATTCCACGGGCTCAAGTTTAAAATCCCAACAACCGTCGAGAAGCAACGCAACATCGCCACCGCATTCATGGCTACTCTCGGGGATATGAGGAAGCAGTTGTCCGATATTGTAGCCAATGTCAAAACGAAAGGCTATCAGATAGAGGACGCCATCCCGGACGTCTTACGCGATCAATTCAAGGAGTTGAGCGAACTCAAAGCAGCGCGAGAGTACATTAGGGAGATTCAAGATCGTGAGCAAGACCTGCAAACTCATAACAATACATTGCGAGCGAAAATCAAGGAAAAGGAAGCAGAGGTTGACGACCAACCAGCAGAGTTCAAGGCGCTCAAAGTCGATCTCCAACAGGCGCACCGGCAGATCGAATACTACCGTGAGCTTGCTGAAGATTCGCAACGGCGTGCACGACGTTACGAGCGCGAGCTTGCTCTCGCTGTCACGGACCAAGCTGCCTCCGATGAAATTATCGCCAGAGCTGACCGTTTGCAAAAAGAGCTAGAACAACTTCAGTGCACCATTGTGCAACTACAGGCCGAGAACGAACGGGCAGCTGAAACTTTCACCAACCTTCGCGCACACGACGCAGCGATCATAGCAGCCAACGAAGCTAAATTTGCAAAGATACTGTCTCATACGTCTGAAGTCGAGAATGAAAGCGAGCAATTTAGCGAAACGTTCACTACGCTCATTCACGACTTAGAGTCTGAGGTTTTATCTGCTTCCGCCTCCCTTAACGATAAGGCTGCTCTGGTACAGAAAACAGAGACGCTGTATAACGCCATCGTTAGTGAGGCAGCACCTTTAGATCGGTTCTTCTCTCGCGCATTCAGGATATTGAACATCTACCAAATTCTTTTCCGGTCGCTTTCCGATCCAGCCCACTCCAGCACTTCAAGTTTGCCCCTTGAGCTAGATCCGCTCATGGAAGGAGCCAGCCAGGACTTGTATGTCTACGAGCAGGTGCATCGGACGATGTGCGAGGACCATGGTCTTGCTGGAGAGCGAGCTCGTACACATCTCAATGGTATTTCGAAAAGCGCGAACGAGATGATGCAAAGCTTCAATTCCATCAAAGCTGACGTAGCAATGTTTTTGACTCGTCTGAAGAAAGAGCCAGGCAGTTGGGTGGCTATGAGGGCGAAATCTGGTGGGTCTAGTAAGAAGAAGGGGATAGGAAAGTGGTTTTCCATGGGCTAAGGCTCTATAGACGCACGTTTAACGTCACCTAGTGAACTTTGGGCGATTTCGTAGTCATTTCATGTATTCCACTCCCTTTACCATCGTGCGCACAACTACAACAAGTATCAGTATCACTTTTTGCCCTTTTCAAGATCAATTAAACCGGTCTTGGCCTTCTCTGATTCCCGAAATTATGACGGCAGGCATTGTGCACCTACAGCATGTGAAGTTATGATCTTGGAAGATGCAAGCTCAACACCTTGCGAACATCGCAAGAACATGCCTTGACTAGAATCATCTAGATGGGACGCGCTATGAGTATCGAGGTTGTAAGTAGTCATCCCGTCCCGCTGAGTAGTAGCTAGGTACATCGACAATGCGCGCCCGAAACTCACACGTGTGAGTACATACCGTCTAGTGAATGTCTACAACAGGCAGGTACATTTAGCGTTGTAGATCTCTTCTATCTTAAGATCACCTCAGCTTTACTCAACTATGGTTCTCGATGCTGTTGCAACGTCCGAAAGCGCTTTGTTGCGTGCTCTGGAGAGGTTGAAGGCCACTGCAGGTCCTGGAACAGTTCATCCTTCGTCCGACTCACTTGTTAAAGGCGAGACAGATGACAGCGAAGATGAGTATCAGCCGGGTCAACAAGAGTCGGAACAAGATCAAGCAGACGAAACAAAATTAGTTACATTGAAAAATGCTCACCGTGTCACTCAGCGCGCCATGCTTACCATGGAAAGAGAGGGGAAGCAACGCCATGCAGACGAGCAGGTCGGGTTCATCATCATAAAACGCGACAACAACAAGCCAGATACCTATGGCGAGTCGTCAGAAACATACGGCCCACTGCCGTGGCCGGGGGTCGCCGAAGCATACAACAAAAAGTATGATATGTCTGTCGGTCCAGCGGCGATGGAAAAGCGCGCGCGACAACATCGACCTGCTTGGTTAGCCAAACATCCAGGTTATCCCCTCAAAATAGTGTACGCAAAGAAACCAAAAGCACAAGCCGCTCGGCGCTCGAAGGTTGCCACCCTACACGCTCACGCTCCTTGCGTGCAAGCCTACACCAACAACCAAAAGGTTCGTGGTCCTAATGAGGTCTCTCATACTGACAGACCGCAGATGCGTGCGGATAAGGCCGAAGGTTCCATCTCCAATGAACGCATCGCTGGATGGATGCCTCCAGATGCCATTCGAAATCGAGCAGACGTACATAACTACATAGACGACCTGATGTCGGCACACGTCGAAAAGGTTGTACTAGAGGTACATGACGCACATGACTCACCATCTGAAGTTGTCATCGGCGACCTCGAAGACCTTGGTAGCAGCTCCGTGGTGCTTCAGCAATTAATGGCTGCCGACAGCGAAACGACAGTACAGGTTGAATGCTCATCTATAGAGGTCGTTCAGTGGTACGTACAATGCAGCTCAGCCGGATGTTTGACAAAAGCGCCGGCAGGTTTCCATCGCGGAAACGGCTCACTGATGGACCTGTACTGCTTGGCTGCACAGCTTCAAGATGACCATATGTGTCGGCTGATATTGGCGCGGTGGCGCACTCTTGCAGAAAAGAACGCCGAGATGGATTTAAGTGTCGAGAACATGAACTTGCTCTTCGAAACCACTCGCTATGAGGATCCAGCCCGCGGATTTTGGGTTGGTATCGCCCATAGAGCGGGAATAGCTCCTGAACTTGTTAACATGGGCGTCTGCAATGCGGAATTGATTGCTGCAACCCAAAGCAGAGAACCAGAGGTATCTGATTGAGTTTGATGAGCCTTCTGGGCCGGCATGTCGCCACAACGACGATACCTCTCTAAACCTGAGGGGTTAGGATTGAATACAGGACGAGACCGCTAAAGACGATCCGACCTATTCACAGGTCGATACATAATCTTGGAATAGTCGATGTAGTTCGATGCACCCTAGATATGTTACCATCAATTGTTAGTCTTAATCGCTTTGTTGTAGTCCTATAACGCTTGATTCCAGTCCTCGATGATACCGGATCTAATGCGTCATCTCGTTTTTCGTCGCGCTAAACATGTCCATTTTGACGCAGTGTTTTTGGGCTTGACTCAGAAATCCGCCCGGTGACCTGAACAAGATGTGTTCGGAGCAAAGTCCAAAGATTTCGTAAGGATCTAAAGACAAACGTCAAGCGCTGTGATTAGTATTAGCAATCGACGAGGAGAGAAACGGCCCGCATTACCGATGGCCACAATCTGATGATTAGACCTCCCCTTTTTGTACCTAGGTAGGATCAATACTCACCCACCGCACGCCACACGCCGCACCCTAACCCAGCAGTTGAAATTCATCTCAAGGCAGACTGCAACTCAAGCTAGAATAGCCAAGCCTTCGTAACGTACTCTTCTTCTTTTGCTGGCATGCTAACCAAAGTAGTCCCGGAGTTCATAATATTAGCCTCTCCACACACAGAGCGTATGCCTCTTACCGTAGTAGAGCTTTCGTGAAACCGTTGGTTTAAGGTGTTGTTGACCTGACCGAAGCTGGCACGGAGACAGGCTCTCCGTAGCGCCTGTCCGCATTGGTCGTAACCTCGGGAACGCCACAGTAGCGCCGTCGCTTACGGCTGGGCAACCGAGTGATGGGGGCTCCTCCGTTGCACCACGACATCCTCACCCCATCACTCGTCCACAACGCGCCAATGTGCATACACCTAGCTCCCATCTAATCGAATTTTGCTTGAGACCCCTGGCATGCAACGAGGCGCTTCCAGCCGACTGTCATGCAGAATCAAGCGTCAGCAACCGCCCTAGGCCATGTGCTGTGCCATGCGCTTGCGCTCGCGCCAATCCTCGACATCGGAGCTCATTCGCGGATAAAACCGCTACTATCAAGACAAGCCTTTCTATCACCTGGGGTCACCTCCTGCGTCAGTCTCCAATGCCTCATCCAGCATGATCCTGCTGATAGCTTTGTGCTGAGCTCGCCCAGCGCCGCCGTCGGCACGGGCGATCTACATTCCAGCTAGTGTTGGCCATTGTCTGCTGATTTTGAAGGATTGCCCTTCTATTTTCTAGACCAAAAGCATACGCGGGGATAGGCGATCTGTCCCCAATACTGTTGCGAGTTGGAGTAGCCCTGTCGAGACCGGCGAAATGGGATACCTTCATATGACAAGGATGTGTCCCGGGTTTGTAAGTACCAGGAGATTCCCCGCGTTCTACTGTTTCGCTATCAGGGACCTGGTCGGCGTACTGGGATCGTCTTGGCCTAGTGGCAGCTGTCGTGCAGCAGCCAGCACGATTGCCCACGGTCCACGATTCCGATAGTTATGCCTCTCGATACTACACTTCTTCCAAGTATGTGGCGTATGCGCTTGAACGGGACGGTTGAGGCTTGTTCGAGATGCTGGAGCCGCTTCCCGATTAGGATGCGGGCCAGAGCCTTCCGCGCCCATTTAGCTCGGGAACATATTTCCAGAACTGCGAGTCCGACAGCACGCCGCTGGGATGCAGCATTAGCCGGACATTGCGGGCCATAGCCCGGCAGTCTGGTCTTTGAGGTCCTTCCCTTGTACATATCCGATTTTGTTTAATAGTCCACCCGTTTCCCAGACGTATTCCACACAGCTCATCTGGAGTGTCTCCACCAAAGCAATGTCGGACATCAAAGAGTCTTATGCTACGACGACCTCAGAGAATGGCGTAAGTATCTTGTTCAAACTACGAGCCGTTGACTGTACTTACACCTACCAGGACCACAAAGGTGCTGTGGCTGACATCGCCATCATCTCTGGCTCCGAAGCCATAGCAGAAGCCAAGCTGAAGGAGCCTGTTCAACGTTTCTCCAGCTCTGCTATGCTGCTTTACGTCTGTGCATTTGTGGGATTCTTTTGCTCGACATGCAACGGGTTCGACGGATCCATGTTCAACTCGCTCCTCACCAACAACACCTTCAAGGAGTACTACAACGTCGAGAGTACCGGAGCCTGGGCTGGTATCGTTACTTCCATGTACCAGATCGGTGGTGTTGTTGCCCTTCCCTTTATCGGCCCAGCCTGCGACACTTGGGGTCGTCGCATTGGTATGATGATTGGCGGAGTTCTTGGCTGCACTGGTGTCATCATCCAGTCAACTGCTCCTGCGTCCAACCCTGTCGGCCAATGTAAGCAACGCCCACGTAAGACGTCTCGATGAGATTTATGCTGATTTCGCGTTCCTCCTTAGTCATGGGTGGTCGTTTCCTCCTCGGCTTCGCAGTCCCAATCATGACAACCGCTGGTCCGCTTCATGTCATCGAGACTGCGCACCCAGCTCACCGTGGTATCATCACTGGTCTTTACAATACCTTCTGGTTCGTCGGATCACTTCTCGCTGCCGGTGTCACACGTGGGTCCGCCAATCTCGCCGGCAACCAATCTTGGAGGATTCCCGTCTGGCTTCAGATGCTCTTCCCAGCCTTACTCGTTATACTGCCTCTTCTTCTTCCAGAGAGCCCTCGCTGGCTGTACACCCGCGGCAAACATACCCAGGCTAAGAAGACTCTCGCCAAGTACCATGGTTGCGGCAATGAGGACAGCATCTGGGTTTCCATGCAGATTCGCGAATACGAGGAATACCTAAACATGGACGGAGGAGACAAGCGCTGGTGGGACTACGGCTCTCTCTTCAAGACTCGTCCTGCGCGCTACCGCCTCGCTTGCAATTGCATAGTCGCGATCTTCGGTCAATGGGCAGGCAATGGGTAAGTCTGCTGGACTAGTACAAAAAACGAAGTCACTAATCATGTGTCAAACAGTGCTGTCGACTACTTCATCTCTGGTGTTCTCGAATCTGCAGGCGTCACGGACGAGATCAAGAAGATGAACATCAACTTGGGAAAGAGCTGTATGCAGCTTGCATTCGTAAGTCTTTTCACAAAAACGATACATGTAAGATTACTGATTGCTGGCGCCTAGGCTGTCGTGGGAGCTCTCTGCGTCGACAAACTGGGTCGACGACCCATGCTGATCGGTACTTTTTCGACCGTGACAGTCATTTGGGCCGGAGCCATCGGCGCTGTTTCTTACCAGAACAAGACCGGAAGCATCCCTGCCGGTAATGCCTTCGTAGCATTGGTCTTTCTCTTCAACGCCGTCTTTGCCTTCGGTATTACTCCGCTCCAGGCCCTCTACCCCGTCGAGGTGCTCTCATTCGAGATGCGCGCCAAGGGTATGGCCTTTTCCAACTTGGCGCTTACCACAGCCATGTTGATCAACCAATTCGCCTATCCTATTGCTCTGGAGAAGATTGGCTGGAAGCTGTATATCGTCTTCGCCTGTTGGTGCCCGGTTCAGGCTTTCGTCGTCTGGCTCTTCATTCCGGAGACCAAAAACCGCACGCTCGAGGAGATTGATGACATCTTCAACGCGCCCAACCCGAGGAACGCTTCTCTTATCAAGAAGAGGCTCGCCACCGACGCGCAAGGCAACGTTCTTGAGGTCGAGAAGCTGTAAGCTTCTCATCAGCAAATGGTGTACATGTCGCGCTCTCCAGTGTACATGCACATGTTGTTACTGCTCTAGTAGTTAAATTTGCAATGTTTATTAATCAGATTGATGTATCTACCACTCTCTGCGAAATTGCTCATCTTCAGAAGCTTTGTGAATAAGCATAACGATCTATAGCAGAACGCATCAAAATGAACAGCTGGAACACCTTTATGTGAAAGACTTTCACTGTCCCTTTGCGGACGGCTCGTGACTGTACATCGACCGCGCGATCTTACTCGCTTCATCCGTGGCAGCCTTCTTCTCATCTTCCCTAGCTTCTCGCGCCTTCTGCATCGCCATCTTCGCCTCGTATAGACGACCTTCCATGTCCAATACCATCTTCTCTGTGTCTAGCATAGATTGTGTCGAGTTGTCATGCTTCAATTTACTGGCATTGCCGGTGCTGGAATACATGATGCTAGTCAGACTGCTTGTTGAGTCAAGTCCCTTGGAAAGACGGATCAGCGCTTTTGGGGACGATGAAGCATATAGAGCATCGATGTTATGGGTAGCTGAATGGACGCGATGGGCGGTGTAGCAAGTTTCCGAGCTTGCTGCATGATGGTGATATCGCCTGCAAAACTCGTCTCGCGCAGTCGTTGCGTCAAGATGGTTTTCTTCCGGTTTAGACAGTATACGCTGTACGTCTTTTGACAGAGCCGGAAACCATTCGGCACTTTTCACCTCTTCGCCCAATGCGTAGAGCAAGTCTGCGAGAAATCTCCATACCGGCGTGCTTGCTGACATCTCGGCTAGCAGTACCATGAAGTCTCTCTCGAAGTCCTTAGCCGTCACGCGAGCCAGCGTATTGTCCACGGGTGGCAGTCTACTTCCAACGAACACCTGCCGCCCAGCAATATTGACGTAGCCATCGACAGGCTTACCCATGTCTGCAAAGATGTCTTCACACCTAGCTTCCTCAGCAAACAGGAAGTGCAGTCGATCAACCACCATATCAACGATCCAGTACACTTCCATCCACTGCGCGAAAAGCAAAAGATCAAGGAGTGCGTCTACAGTCCAGATGATCTTCTCCACAC